AGAGCCTGTCCAAAAAGGCGGGGACTATCTCTAAAGCCTTGGGGAAGGACTTGTTAAGTGTTCTCTGAATATTAAAAATTAACTTAACATAAGGAATCTCCTGCCTTGATTTTTCTCTGGGATACTGGTGTCTTGGTCTGGGAGCATATCAAAAGGCTGCCTGCTCAGCTCCCAAGGTGGGCTGAGGTATTGTCTATTTGCTAAAGAATCCTGCCTTTTACTATGAGGTCTACAGCTGGGTCTGCATGCTAAATTAGTTGCTCAGTTTGCAAAATTACCTCCTCAGATCTGAAGGAGGAAAGACAGCACATAGACCTGGGCCTTTTAGTATGCTAAAGTGAATCTTATACACGATTACAAATGATTAGCATAATAAAACATGTGCTACTCTTCTTTATCTGGGGAACATTAACTGATCTCACTGAAGAATGATTCTAGAGCTTAATGTTCAACATAGTTTTAGTAGGGGGGGTTTCCTAGCATGTAGTTACATTGCTCTGACTGCAAATATCCTGCCTTGCTTTCTCCAGAGGCTCTCACCTTATTCTAAGCCTATGGTCCCTGTCTCATTCTCCCCTCTACAGATGGAGACTCTAGCTGCTGCTAGGGAAAGGGGGCGATGACTGCTCTGGCTGCTTCATGCTGAGAGGGGGCGCAGTAAAGGGTGCAGCTAGGTCTCCATCACTGGTCAGTTGAGAGGGCCTCGGAAGGTTGGCGCTTCTATTCTGGGTTTCATTTCTATTACTATTTGCAGTTTTGTGGCTTCTAGGCAAGATAGAACAAATTGTTATTAGGTTAAGTAGCAACATCTGGAGTTGGATTTTCCATTCTGGAAGGACAAACTTGATGAGATTAAGAATGCATGGCTGAATATGAGAACTAGAAATATGAAGAGTCTAATTGAGAATCATAGCCAGGTATCATGGGGAAACTAGAATTCTGGATCGAGTTTACATCTCAATGACTAGTATTAGGATTTAGTATAGATAAGACTGCATTATTGAAACAATACTTTTCTCTAAAATCACCCTCATTTTTATTAGAAGTAGCCAGATTAAGAAAATAATTAACAGTTGGCTTGATTATTTGCATAAGTGCAGCAAGAAGAGCAATTGATTACATGGGATCTTTTAAATGTGCTTTGCTGGAACTTTTTGTAAGGAATTTCAGATTGGACTTTTAAGGGCTTCTTGAGGCCAGAAAGCCAAGCCAGACTTGCCATCAGGTTGTGCCTGCAGTACCTGTAGATTTGGGTGAATTCCTCTCTTCCTGAGGTTCCTGCACCTACCAGGAAGTGACCTTCCTTACTCACCTGGTAAGGCTGCTGGGAACTCTGTAAGCAAGGTACCAGGCCAGTTCTTCTAAGGGGCTTTGTTGGCTTTATAAAGTCAATCTTAGTTCCTTAAAGCTGTCTGTTCATATCTGAGTTTACACACGTGTCTCTCAGGTTTGACGTTCCAGTCAAAGCCTTGGTAATATAACCAGTGTTTTTAATTGGTCCTCTTACAAGGAAAGCAGATTCTTATTGAACTTATATAAATAAACATACTGCCATGAAATATAAAAATAGTCATTGAGTTTTTAAATTCTGGAGGGATCAGGTAGAGAGAAAGATAAAGTTTCAATTCTGCTTATAAAGGCAGTCATTTACTAAACTGTTGTCAGCTTAAGAGAAAAAGCTTAAAACACTTTATCAACAACATTTGAAACTAAAAACCACCAAATCATCTTCTTTAGTTTACTTAATCCTATGTAACTAATACCTGTTCTGCTGAAATCTAGTTTTTTACTAGATTAGGAGTAATAAAACAGTGAGTATAGATGACAGAAGACTTACAAATGACGATGGTTAAAGATCTGATGAGAGCTTACTGTAAGAGTTATCATAAGGAAATTTGGATATTTCTGTAACATAAAACATTCAGTAACAAAGTTAAGCATCATTCTCTGTGATAGTGCCTTCCAGGTAATTAAGCAGGTAAATAAGTCAAATTAGCCAAATACTTTCTCCAGTGAGAAAAAATTCCTCTGACATGTTCCAGGGGCCCTCTGGAAAATATCAGAGTTAACTAGAGGTAAAAGAACCTTTTTGCATTTGATTTTGGGAAGTTGTTAAAAGTTTTAAGGCACTTACTTAAATAGTTACTCACATTAGACAAAGCTACACTTCACTTTAAGCATTTTTCTTTGAAAGATTTAACAGATCCATAAACTTAAATGACTTTAGGTAAACTTAGGCAGCTGATAACCATAAGGACATGTCTGTTCAGTTCAACTTAAATTAGCATTAATGCTTAATATCTTCTATTAGAATTTTCTGGAACTTTTAGAATGCCCAATTTTTACAAGCGCTTGTCTTTAAATCAATTTTTATTAATACCATCTGGAGGTAGAAAAATATCTTTCATTTACACACTTAGAGAGAAACATACAGATTGAGACATAATGATACAGTGAGAGGACAGACAGAGCTCCTGGCATGAGCCAGGAGGGGACAAGAGAGCCTGTGGTGGTGCATTGTCTAGGGGTTTTATAGGCAGTTGAGGATATTTGGGAACTTGAAAAAAGCTTAGGGGTATGGATTTAAAGGCAAGTAGTAGGTGTTTAGGATTACAGGGGAGACAGAGAGAGAGCTTGGTTCGGAGGTAGGAGAAAGCCTGGATATATGGGATCTCTTTCCATTTGCCCGTACGCTCACAGAAGTTGTATAAGTTGCGGAGAATTTTAGGATCTAAAGAGCCATTTGGGGGCCATTTAGACTGATTGTCCAAGGGATATTGTGCCCAGATCTCATTACAGTAGCAAACAGGTTTGAGGTCTGGAGTGAGGTGGAGGGGCTTTAGATGATTGAGTAACCACCCCAGTGGTGAATCTGCGGGAACGGAGGGGCCAGATCCCATGGTGAGAACAAGACCGTTCAGAAGTCGCTGAGGCGTCCCTGAGTGATTGAGAAGGTCACGGAGAAGACCAGGCACAGTTAGGGGGTCGTCACCACCTCTAACTGTGGGGTCAAGGCGAAAACGCCGGGGAGGCTCGGTACCTGGTACCAGGAGTTTTCGAGTCGAGTAGAAACGTAGATAAAGGGAGACTGGGCCTCAGTGGATGAGGATTCTCACCATAGGGAGTCAGAGAAGGGTTGACTATGGGGATCAATTGTGACTCTGAAAGTCATGGTTGGGGGTGCCCCTGTCCCAGAGGAGCCCTTGGTTGTGCCGGACACTCAATGGTTACTTCCCAGGTTCCAAAGGGACATTTAAGTTGACCATGAAAGGGAGACTCACCAAATCGAAGGCCGGTGTTGGGCGAGAAGACGAGCGACCGGGGAAGTGGACAGTGAGCCCTTGGAGGAGGATCGGGCAGTGAGGGCTCCCAAAGCAGCTCAGGTTCCCGGAGGAAGAGCAAAGTCAATGGGAGAGCCTCATCCGAAGTCACAGCACCAATGAAAGGGTATCTTGCCACGACCCTCCTTACCAAGAATGACTCAGGAGACACGGGCCCACGCAAGAGACTTTATTATGTGAAAGGGAGAATGGCTGCCCCAGACGGGGGTGGAGAGATAGAGAGAGAGAGAGAGAGAGAGAGAGAGAGGAGAGCAGGGGGACAGAGAGACAGAGACATAGAGAGGGCAGCAGAGAAATGGACAGAGAGAGAGAGAGGGAGCACCAGAGTGAGAGAGACAGAGAGACACACAGAGACAGAGAGAGAGAGAGGGAGAGGGCAGCAGCGTGGTGCCTTTTACTGTGGATCCGCTCCGCCTCCTGCTTTGGGGGAGGGTCGGGATGTTTAGAGATAAGGCGGGGTAAACCCAGTCAAGCCCCAGGCAAGCCCAGGCATAATTCTCACCGACTTATGTGCTTGGAACCATGGGGCAAATGGAGGATAAATTCCTATATTCTTACAATTCCGTCATTCATTATTATTTATTATTGTTCCCTTACTCTTAAAGAGCAAGGTGGGAAGGGGAAGCATCAGAAGATAACTGCAGATTTACATGCACTTTAAGAAATAATACAGACAGCTCTATTGTGCATTACTAGAAGGATTTTAAGTCTTCTTAATAATGAATGTGAGAGTTCCTTGTATAACTGGTATGAAATGGCTGATAGTGATTCCAGGACTTAGTAAACAGTAAAGGAAGAGAGCCAGGGCAGAGGCTTTTATTGAGAGATACAGTGAAAGGAAAGAGCTCCTGGCTCACGCCAGAAGGAGATGAGAGCCCAGGGTGGTGCATTGTCTAGGGGATTTATAGGCAGTTGAGGATTTGGGGGAATTGAGGGCTTAGGGTACGGACTTGTAACACCTGCCCTGCCCTCAAGGTGGGCTGAGTTGTCCTTTCGCCAGGGCTGTTTACAGTGAAGTCACTGGTCATGCTGAGATACCCTTGCAGAACACTCAAACATTCCAGGCCAAGTTGCTCCTGGCCTTTTGACCTTTAACTGATCTCACTGAAGATGTCTATATTCCTAGTCTAGTATCTTTACCCTAGAGAATTAGTGTGACCTTGACAGCATAATGCTGACCACAATTTCGATAGGGACTTTAATTTGTTACATTGCTTTGACTGTAAATATCTTGCCTTGTTTTTTCCGGAGGCCCTCACCCTACTCTGTCTAAGCCCATGGTCCCTGTCTCAATAGAAAGCACTTCGTGATTTTGGAAAAGGTGTTACTACTTTGCTTGCAGCTGCAGGAAATAAAGGTTTCATTTTTTAAGCCAAAGCTCAGAGGTTGAGTACAATTGTATAAGTTTGAGAATAGGAGAGAGAGTAAGGTGAGCCAGGAGCCGGGTGAAAGGAACCAATCTGTGAACAATGGTAAACAATTTAGACTTTAAAATCCATCCCTTGTAAATAGATTCTTTCTTGTCTAATTTTTAGAACTCAAGTCATGGTGGGCCTATTGTTAACCTAGGTCTGATTGTTATTATTTGCTGTTTTTGATATGGAATACCTTGATTCTACTGAGTCTAACTTACTGAAAATATTTCTCTTGTGCTTTTAGAATGACAATAGAGAACGCCATGAACACAGCAGCAGCGAAAGGCGGAGGCATGGCAACCCAGAGCCTTTATCTAATGGAAGACCCCAGGGTAACTCCCAGCAGGTGGTGGAACAAGATGAAGAAGATGATGAGGAGCTGACATTGAAATATGGTGCCAAACATGTTATCATGCTCTTTGTCCCCGTGACTCTCTGTATGGTTGTGGTCGTGGCTACCATCAAATCAGTCAGCTTTTATACCCGGAAAGATGGGCAGCTGTACGTATGAGTGTTTTATTTTATTCTCAAGGATGGTATAGCTTTTCTTCTCAGCATGTCATCTTCACCTTGGAGACCTCTGCCCTGAAGGGGTGTCAAGGCTGGAGAGTACATACATCCTCTCTGACAGCCAGAGGCAGTTGAGAGCAAAGGGCTATCTCTTACTTGATGCCAGAAGTAGAGAATATAAGAGCTGCATGATTGTATTTCCTGTGTGGTATCACTAGATAGGGCTGAATTTATTTGGAATTGAGTTGGTAAAGAGTTGAGTAGTGATCTTACCCACTTCAGCACTACTGGGCCCATTGTTCTGCCTGGAATGTTCTTGCTTTTCTAACTTTGGTGGATTAATTTCCTATCATCCTTCCCATCGTGGCTTAAATATTAAGTCCTTATAATAACTTCCCTGAACCTCCTAACAGAATCAGGTCCTTCCTGGTGTTCATTCTTACGGCAAACTGTTCTTTTTCACTTGTCACAATATGCAAATACGTATTTGTTTACATTATTTAGTGCCTTGTTTCCCTCTATACCATAAAGTCTGTGAGGGTACCTTGTTTCCAGGGTGAGGTATATGTAAAAGATGGGTAGCAAAAAGTTGAAGAATTAGTATACACTGGGACTCTCCAGACTCTCAGGAAACTGTTTTGCATTTTTGTGGGACTGTTGGCATCAGCCCTTTACGTTTAAAAATAGATACTTTAATTCACATGTCACCTAGTTCTGTCCCTAGGACTCTCATGGTGCTCAGAAATGTCTTCAGTCAATTTTTCTATTGGAAATTAGTGCTTGAAAAAACTGGGCTTCAGAAAGACAAGCTTTTAACCTTTTGGGAGGAAAAATCTAAGACAGTGAGCGAAGGGCAGGGGTTGGAGACAGTAGGCAAAAGTGAATGGAGACTGTTAACTGTAGAAGTTAGAGTTAAGTTGCTAGATGGAGCCGTGTCTGGCTATATACATATTATTGAGCTATAGCCCACAGGCCAGATAGCCTGCCACCTGTTTCTGTAAATACAGTTGAGCCTTGAACAACATGGGGGCTAGGGGCACTGACTTCCTGCACCCCCCACTGTGCATTTGAAAAGCCACATAAAACTTCTGACTCCCTGAAAATTTAACTACTGATAGCCTACTGTTGACTGGAAGCCTGAGTGGTAATATAAGTAGTCAGTTAACACATATTTTTTTTTACATATATTATATACTGTATTACAATAAAGTAAGCTAGAGAAATGAAAATGTTTTTTTTAAATTGTTGAAAATCTCCAAAAAATGTTCCAGTACACTGAAAAAAACCCATACATAAGTGGATCTGTGCTATTCAAACCAATGTGTTTCAAGGATCAACTGTAAAGTTTTATTGGACCTGACTATGTCCATTTGTTAATGTACTGTCTATGGCTGCTTTCATAGTACAATGGCGGAACTGAGTGGTTGCAGCAGACCATATGACCCATAAAGCTTAAAATATTTACTTTACTTTCTAGTCCTTCACAGAAAGATTGGTGACCCCATTATAGAAAATCAGAACTGGTTTAAATAATACACATATTTTCTCTATTAGAGAATAGTGCAGAGGTAGTCAAGATTGGTTTATTGGCTTAACATTCATGGAGAACTCAGGCTTCTTTTCTTCCTGGGTTTCTCTCTAGGTTATTTCAGGCCCCTGTATCAGTGCTAGAGCCCCAGCCTTCATTCAGACAGCAGGAGGCAGGAAGGAGTGGAGGCAAAAGGACGTAAGACGTGTCTCTCAGCAGAGTTAACTCCTTTCTTACAAGTTCCGCACAACACATATGCTTGTAATTCATTGGCCATTACTCAGTCTCATGGCCACAACTAACAGAAGAAAGTCAGAAATAAAGCCTTTTACTGGGAACATTGGCACCTGGAATGAAAGTGTTTTTTGTAAATGAGAAAACAAGGGGAAGGTTTGTATATGACATTATCTCAAGACAGCTCCAGTTGTAGCCACCCTACAGGTGAAGGATAATAATGATAAGCCCTAGTACCTTTTTCTGACACCCACTCATAGCCTAGGTAGTTTATGAGGCAGTTTTAACAAATCACTAATGAGCTGTGAAGAAAGAACATGTGATGAGGTAATTATTTCAATATAGAGCATCCACTAGATGGAGCCAGTGTCTGGCTCACATAAGTCTACCTCTCCATAGTTCGATATCTCCTTTTATTTTGAAGCACTCATTTTAGAGTATAGCTGTTTTTCTCAGGTTAAGAATTCTTGGCTAGATTGATGAGATGGATTAAAGTGATTTATAAGATATCAGCAGAATCAAGGAAACAAAACTCTGATGTTGGAGGGGTTATGTATTAGAATATCCATTAACAATTAATTACCTAGAGCTTTTGTGTTTTATTATAGAATCTACACCCCATTCACAGAGGACACCGAGACCGTGGGGCAGAGAGCCCTGCACTCAGTTCTGAATGCTGCTATCATGATCAGCGTCATTGTTGTCATGACTGTTCTCCTGGTGATTCTGTATAAATACAGGTGCTATAAGGTGAGCCTAAGACACAGCTTTGGTTTTTGTGCTGTTCTTTCTGTGATTGGATTTTCCTGTCACATACCTTACATGGTCTAGAAAAGAAAAAGGAGTTACATTCCAAAACTAAATTAATTTTAGTTTTTTCCTGCTCATTGTGGAACATTTAAAAAATACAAAAAGGCATAAGTAGAAAACAAATGTTTTCATGAAATACCACAATCTGAATGGGTTTTTTGTTGTTATTTAATTAACGTATTATTGATACACAATCTTATATTATTTTCAAATATACAATCTGAATGGTTTTACCAGTTTGATTTATAGTGTATGCATGACAGACATTTCAGAAGGATGTATCCTAAACTTTGTGAAGGGTCTAAGGATATCATAAGACCTTCATTCACAAATAACACTATAGGATATAATTGTCCCCATAAAATAATATATAAATTTAAAAATTCAGATTTTCATACTTGACTACAGAACAGTAAAACCATGTTAGTGTTAAACTCATTGGTGACTCGCTCTATTCCCGCTTCTAAATAGATAGCCATCCATTCCCTCATCATCTTTCCTGCGGAGCACTAATTCTTTCCTTCGGGAAATAAGGGAAGGGAAGATCGTGTAGAAAAGATACAGGCCAGCCCTCCCAGCCTCTGCTCAACTACCGCCCTCCAGCTCACTTCTCTAGCTAAGTGATTCATTCCTGAATTTCAGCCACCTGGCACATGCTTCAGATTCATACCTCAGAAAAATCACAATTATTACAAGTCATGAGTCTTTAGGGCCATTCAAAGAAGAGAAAGAAATACTTTTGAAATGCTGAAATCTACTCTATTTCCTTCTAGTATTTATTTCTGTGTATTTTTTAATGTGGTTAAAGTGTGTAATCACTATGTATCCTTCATTAACTTTTACTTTGGCATAAGCATTTCTCCATATTACAAATTCTCAGAAAATATGTCTAATAGCTACATAATATTTGACTCAATCAGTGAGTGTATTGTAATTTACTTCCCCCTCATTTCTCTGAAGTTGGACAATTTAAGTTGATTCCAGCTTTTCACTCTTCTAAGAAACAATGAATGTCTTTATGCATAGAGCTTTTTCAGTTTTTCAGATTATTTCCTTAGGGTAAAAGCCTAAACACAGAATTTCTGGGGCAAGTTATTTACATATTTTTAAATGTCTTGGTATGTGAAATCCCTTGTTCAAAATGCTACTATCAGTTTGTACTTAACACTGGTAGTGAATGAGACTATTTTATCCTGCCTTCACCAGCATTGCGTTTAAAAAAAAACATCTGTGCCAATTTTTAACTTGTACTGGTAAGATCAAATACCTTTTCAATGTTTGCAAACTCCAAAATTATACAGTTTTACCTTGCTTATTGAGTGTTTGGGTGAAAGCGTTAACCTGTGATGACTGTCTGCAATCTCACATGAGCATATGGAGAAGATTGAAAAGGAATGGTGTGTATGATGATGAGAGATAGTCATCAAAGTTCAGGAAACGGGAGAACAAATGATCTAAACCCACGCTGGGAAGATCTTCCTCCTCCTGTTTAAATACGCTATGTCTTAATTACTTCTCTATATCCTCTTTCCACCAAATATATATTTTTTTACTTAAGTGTTCACCTACCAGTTCTCTGACTTATTGGACTCACTCTGTGACTTTTATCTGGATTATATGCTACTTTTGTTCTTCACATTTTATTAGGAGTCTGTATGCTCTTTAGGGTCCTATCCACAGGTCCTCTCCACACCTACACCTTGAGGATGGGCCCACAAATTCATAATGGCTTTAAAAGTTTGCTCTCCTGAGCTGCTTCCTTTCTGTGATCTCCCTGGTACTTTCTGGTTCTTTTGGACTTCTATTGCATTCTTCTAGCCAGTGCGCTGAGCTTCATTTTCTCAGCATTAGGGCCAGAGTGTGGGAGGAAAGAGAAATAAAGCAAGTACTGTTTGCCCCTCTCTCTGGGAATTGCAGTTAAAGGAGGAACCAAGCTTCCCTTTCCTTTGAATTTTAGGCTCCAACCACCCCCATTGCCACCCCCACACGACTGTTTGGGGGTTGGGTGGGAGAGAATGAAGAAAATGAAAAAAAAAATTTTTTTTACATTCTTTTTTCATGTTTGGAGACCTCTTTCCTGCTCCTCTAGCCAGAACTAGAGGTCTTCTCCTGGGTTCTCATTGTCTTGCTGATTGCCCACTGGTATTGTGTTGTGTCTAGGGGAGGAGGCATGTACTGGAGTGGAAAGTCGTAAACCCTGTACTTAAAATTTCCTGGCCCACCTGCCTGTTTGCTTTCCAGAACCCTTAACTAGCAGCTGCATGCAACCTGTGTAGGTTTTGTAGCTGCATATTCGGTGGTGAAACAGGGTGTAATGTGCTTTTTCACTTCTTGTTCCTTAGAACCTGTCTTGCTGTATTTTTGGATAATGTTGTGCATCTTTAGTTATGCTTCATTTTAAACAGTCTTTTAACCCATTTTAAAGGTTTATATTCAGCCAGATTTCAACATTGATCTGTTCATTTGTGTTGTTTTGTTTTTTAATGTTCATGTCTCAGCAAGCACAGACAACTCTATAGAAGCAAGTTGTTTACTTTGGCTCTTAACTGTAAAATAAAAGGAGCTTTTGAGTCAGAAATTCAGAAACTAGCCAGGACTTGTTTGAAATTAAGCCCTAAGGATTTGTTATGTCAGTAGTTGGTTGTGCAATGTCTGTGAGAAGCAGAGGAAGCTAAAAGACCAAACAAACCTTAAAAAGGTAGAAACGGAAAAGGCAGTTAATTATTACATGTAATATGTTAGAGATAAAACTGTATCACTTACTAAAGTCCCATGATTTCTGGCTTGGTAGCTCTGGGTTTAGAGGAGATGCTTGCTGTCTGTACTGAAGCAGGGTTCTTTTCTTCCAAGCCTTTAGCACAGGAAAGCTGAACTAGGGGTTTCTGCTAGATGAGAAAGGTCTGTTCTACTACCTCATGTTCTAGAAAAAGGGGAGGTGCTATATAGTCTTCATCAAAAGAGGCTTTGAATTCAGGTAATAATTCAGAAAATTATAACATCAGTGACCAACCTAAATAGGAAAACTGTTTACAGCCATTATGATAGACAAGGACTAATATTTTTAAATATGAAGGGTACTTACCAAACATTAAGAAAATTATGAACATTCTAATAAGAAATTTATAAAACCCAAGCAGAGAAATTACAAAGGAATTATAAGATGGCCAGGGGAGAGAGGGAGTAATGTGTAAATCTTTTTTATCCACTAGTAAAAAAAGAAATACATGTTAAAATACAAATTAACATACTTCACTTATT